GATCCCAGGACCCTGGGATCATGACCTGAGCCAAAGGCAGACGCTTAAAGACTGAGCCATCCAGGCGCCCCAAGCTAGGTCATTTTAATGTAAACACTGAATTAGGAAGGGTGTTCTGACATGACAGAGTGTTACCCAGGCGTGCCCTGGGGTCCTAACGAGGGACGACAGCTCCCATTTCAGAACGCTTCTCTCAGAGTATGGTCCAAAGATAGCAGACCCTGCATGGCTTCTCAGAGATCCTCAGCTCTGTGACTTGAATGATACCCTGCACGCTTGTCTTGTTGACGACAGCACGACGGTGTAGCTGCGTGCTCTGCTACAGAACTCACCAGGCTCTGTCCTTGTTAGTTTGCAGAAAGCTGGATGGGATACGCTGGTCCCGGCTACGGCATACTCAGCTTGGCGGTCTCCGAGAAGTACCTCTGGTGCCTGGACTACAAAGGCGGCCTGTTCTGCAGTGCACTGCCGGGCGCTGGGCTCCGCTGGCAGAAGTTTGAGGACGCCGTCCAGCAGGTGGCGGTCTCACCCTCAGGTTGGCCTCCCCGGCTCCCTGTCCCGCCCGGTGTAGCTGGCCCGGCACACAGCGGGCCCTGCCCGGGGCCACCCATGCAGCACGCTGGCCAGTGCCTGCACGTTTGGGGGGTTTCTCCGAAGAACAGGGGTTGCTTCATTTGACTTCAGTTAATAAACATCCAAATAAATGGATGTTTAGTTTGAATTTTTTTTTTAATTAATTGTAAGGGGAATACATGAACATGTTTTTATAAACTATGCAAACTATTTGCTTGAATTTTGAAGGATTTTTTTGAGAGAGATTAACGTATTAGCCCCTTATAAAAATGTGTTCCTATTTCTTTTTTTTATGGGAGGGGAGGAGCAGAGGGAGAAAGAGAGAGGGAAGCTTAAGCAGGCTCCACACCCAGCACGGAGCCCAACACGGGGCTCAGTCTCACAACCCTGAGACCTTGACCTGAGCCGAAATCGAGTTGGATGCTTAACTGACTGAGCCACCCAGGCACCCCTGTGTTCCTGTTTCTTAGTGTTGCTTTAAAGCAACTGAACTAATGAAGATGGACCTATGGATATGTGGGATATGTTCAGATTATTTGGGTTCCTTTCTAGAAATTATTCTTTAATGAGCGATGTGTATGCTTTGGCTGAATCATCTACTCCCTGAGTGTAAAGAAAAATGCGTTCATTCTTGCAAGCCATGGTCAGGCTAACCATTTTTAGTGAACTGGAGCAGACATCTCCTGAATGAGGTTCTACTAGGCTTTCAGCCTGTACCTCCCTTCCCTGTCCAGAATCATTTGCTCATCTGTTTTGTCATAACGTTGGCCACTTCACCTATTGGGGGGTAGATAGGTAGAATAGAAATATTTATGCGTGTTTGCCTCATAGTAACTTCTTATTGTTAGGACATTGGAGTAGAAGTCAGACAAAACATGCTCTGTGACCTTAGACTCGTCCCCCGTAATTTTACTGTGTTTCAGATGGATTTCCTTGAACTCTTCCTGGTCTTTGTCACTATTTAAAATACCAGTTTGCTCAAGGTTGTTTTACCTCTTCGCTTGTTTGAAAAATATTTTTCCTTAGATAGTGGCTGAGATCATAGTCTACTTCATTAGCTGGCGTTATATAATTGTGCGTTTTAATTCTTTCTGTCATTTACTTCTGGTTTTATCTCCCCAGCCATTTAGAAACTTTGGTTCTGTCCTGATTCTGTTGATTACTTTGTGCTTCCAAAACGTTCCGGCCCTTGTTGATCTAGTAAGAATTCTGTCCCCACCAGATGAGTGTAGTTGACTGAGTTGTCCTGCAGTGCCCATGTCTTGGGCGGGGGGGGGGCGGGCCAGAGCCCACGGTGTTCACGGGGTGCTTCGGGCTTAGCCGTCTGTCTCGCTTTTCTCCTCTTACCTCAGCTCTCCCCTTAAGACCCTCTAGTCCAGCCTGGCTGTGCTCTTGGTGATTCTCTGGTGGTTTCTTACACGTGGCCGCCTGTCCTGTGTCACACCCTCCATCTGCATCTTCCTCCTTCCCTCCCCTTTTTCATCTTTGTTTATCAGAATCCCTTTCTGAGTAAAAAAAGGACAGCCCAGCTCAAACGCCTCCTTTCCATGCATCTTATCCCTCAGTTGGTCCAGAAGTACCCCATCTGAATCCCTCTAGGACTTTTCAACCTGTGGTGGGGCACGAGTTGTGCCTCCTGATGTAACCGTGTCAGCACTGCCACTGTACACATCAGGAGGGCCTGAGGTCTGTCCAGCTCAGTGTGCCGTGTCACTGGTCTGTTCTCACCTCCAGTTTCCCTAGCAGCCCTATAAGGTACAGAGAAGGAAGTCAGGCATGGAGACCGTGGGTGACTTGACACCCGAAGCCACACAGCTGGTGGGTGGTGGCCAAGGACCCAAACCTCGGTGCTGCGGGCTCTTTCCCCCGTTGAGGTAGAAGCAAAAGGGGGAGAGAGGTTTTAGAAAGCTCTCTCCCCCACAGTGACCAGAATGAAGCTTTTTTGTGTAAGTCATTCTCCATACTTATTGGATGGTGATTAGAATTTTTATTTCTACAGGAGCCCTTCTCTGGAAGATTGAACAGAAATCTAACCGAGCTTTCGCTTGTGGAAAAGTGACCATCAAGGGGAAGCGGCACTGGTACGAAGCCCTGCCCCAGGCAGTGTTTGTGGCCCTGAGCGATGACACAGCCTGGATCATCAGGACAAATGGAGATCTGTACCTGCAGACAGGTAACTGGAGGCGGTGCTCCGGCCCCCATCAGTGGGGAGGTGATTGCTTCTTACTGCCCCTCACCTATTAGGGACATGCTTAGAGCCATCACAGTGCCTAAGGGGCTAAAAATCAATTTAAATTAAAATACTCCTGTAAAAAGAGAATTTGCTATTGGAATATATTAGCAGTTTCCTGCTACTGACTCACATTCAACCCCAGACAAATTTAGGGCAAGACTTCATAGGGTTAGTTAGTGAGATACAGAAACAGATTCTCGTTCTTCTTAGGTTAACCGTTGCCTGTCATTTATGCTGCAATGTCAGATCTTAAGGGGAAAGAATAACAGGGAAATGACATTAGAATCATTTTTTCCTTTAAGTTATGGCTGGATTTTTTTCAGCCAGGTCAAAGCCCTGCTTCTGTATATTTATTTACGTGTGGATCAGGAAGAAACAAGGAGAAATCATTTGATCTAAGTAGCAGTTCAACTTGTCCTAATAAACTGCCCTGAGGGGAACCTTCAGCTGCTGAAGGAGACTCAGTGGGACTTGTTTATTAAAAATAAACTGTAATGAGAGGGAGTGTTTATGTACTGTCAGCAAAATGGGATATGAGTTTCCAAAGGCAATGTGATTTATCAGCATCTGGAAAGGATATGGGGCGGGTGCTCTTTTTTAGTTGTCAGGAGGCCATATTGGATTTACGTAAAGATCCATCTCCTAACCATTTAATATTGCTGATTTGGGGAGACTGTTTTAATCTCTGTTATGAACTGTCAGCCAGGGATGATTCTCTGAGATTGAAAGTCTTTGCCCATCTGGCTCTTCCTCACGTGTAGGAGGGCCAGCGTCTCCTAGAAGCCGCTGCTTGAGCCCTGGTGGTCAGCCTCGCCAGCTCCTGGGCCATGTGCCAGCCCTGGTCTCTCCTTTCAAGTGGGAATAGCTCTCGAGAGGCAGATGCATATCCAGTTTCCACGAGCATTTGAGTTTTGTTCCTGGTGAGGAAACGGAGCGCTTCAGGCCTGGAGTTGAGGAACGAATGCTCTGTTAACCAGTAGTACCAGACCTACCGCGTTAGTCTCCAGGGCTGGCTGACGATGTGTGGTGTAAGAAGCCCCGCAGGTGACTCCCCCTGGTTGAGCGTGAGGGAAACAACCGAGGATGTGGTACCACAGGGCTCCTGTGAGCAGTCAGGGAGCACATTTGAGCACTGAGGGCTGATTGCGGGCTGACGCCACAGCGTATGGGGTTTGAGTTAACAGCTGTTCTGCCAGCTTGCCCAGGACGCTATCAGGCTGCAGACAAGCTGCAAGGAGGTGGGGGAAAGAGCCCTGGATGGGGCATCAGGGACTCTGAGCTCTGGCCCTGCCATAGCCTGGCCATGTGATGGACCTCGCCTTTCATCTAGGGAACCCCCCCCCAAACAGGTAGGAGCTGGAGAGGGCAGCTGCTTTGTCAGAGCTGCTCTGCAGAGGATGGCTGCAGGCCTCAGATCTGAGGGGGCTCTGAGGCTCTGAGGGGCACAGCTGTAAAGCATGTGCTGCTCTTGGCAGGGGCCCTTTTGGCTCAGGGTCTGGCTGCTCTCCTGCCCTGGGCTTTCTTGTTCTTCCAGAACATCTTAAGCTACTTTGGGACACCAGCAGATTCTGAATTGTTAGTTCCTTCAGTTTGCAAAGAGCTTTTGAAAACACTTCAGATATGTGTGATACTTAAGCACAACTTAACCATTTTTTTGTTGACTAGACCTTAAAAAGACAAAATACTTATTACAAAAGAATATGGCAAAATACCAAAAAAAAAAAAGAGAGAAAGAAGCAAACAACAGAATACGAATGAGGTGTGAAGTCCTGATTGTGTGTCTTTGGGGCTTCCTGTCTGTCTCCCTGGCAGGTCTCAGTGTGGATCGCCCCTGTGCCAGAGCCGTAAAGGTCGACTGTCCATATCCACTGTCCCAGGTTGCAGCCCGAAACAGCGTGGTGTGGGCGCTGACAGAGCAGAGAGCCCTCCTGTACCGGGAGGGCGTGAGCAGCTTCTGCCCTGAAGGGGAGCAGTGGAAATGTGACATCGTCAGGTATCAGGAGGAGGAGCAGAGACGTCTTCATCATCTTGCTTGTCCCACCCTTGGTTCTTTGTCAGCTTGACTCCCCTTAACGCACCCATGGGAGCCTTTCCTGGGCAAAGCTGCTTCTCTGAGGCTCGCCATGGTAGTAGTGTTTTCTGGAATCGTCGGAGCCGATGCCAGCAGCCTGACCGTGGAGACGCCCTGTGCCTGCTCTGACTGGCAGACTGGGCGTTGGGTCAGAGCTTAGCTTTTTGAAATGCTGCCGCCCTCTTGTGTGACCTCAAGCATCACATGATCACGGGTCTCTCACGACAGTTTCTATTCAGTGCTACCCAGTGCTGTCGGGGGGTTTCTGTGTAGCATCTCAGTGGTTTAAGGCCAAATATTTTTCCTTTATTATCATCCTAGTCAATGATGATTGATCTCTGAATGGTAATTTATTTGGTTACTTATACCACTCAAAATTTTAATTATAGAATTACCATCAAATCATTTTGCCAATTAGAAAAATTAGACGAGGATCTTCTTGGTTTGAACCTAGCAACCCGGTCAGCGTGAGCGAGTAGCTCCTATGCGCCCCAGCGGGGTTGGGCTGGGTGTGCGAAGGTGGCTGCCCCCAGCCCTGCCCGCCCCCAGAGCGGGAGCCGCGTAACTGCCCGGAGCCGTTAGCGTAGACGGTCCTACACCGGAGGGCGCAGCCCAGCTGAGCCCCGAAGCTGGCGAGCGCTTTACCAGAGGGGCCGGGCGGGGCCGGGCGCTGCCCGCAGAGAGGCGACGTCCGCCCAGCTGCTGCCCAGCACAGCCGGGCACACGGGGGGCACCTCTCCTGGCTCGACTGTGCAGGAGGGAGCAGTGAGGCGGAGGCGCCCTACATGCCCTCGCGCTTTTCTTGTAGGCTCTTTTCTCCCAGGGGCCTTCCCCACCATGCTGGGTTTTCAGTGTGTCTTTCAGAAGTTGCCACACGTTGAAGCAACATCTACTGCACAGTGACGTAACTCAACCCTCGAGCTTCCTTCCTTGGAACTTGTGGGTGGGGTCTAAACCCACCGGGAGCCTGCGTCCCTAGTCAGGCTGGGCGCTGACTCCCCTGTTCTCGTCCCTGTTTCCAGTGAAAGGCAAGCTCTGGAAGCCGTCTGTATAGCTCTCGGGGACCAGCAGACTCTGTGGGCCCTGGACATCCGAGGGAACCTGTGGTTCAGAACTGGTGTCGCTTCCAAGAAGCCCCAGGGTGATGACGACCATTGGTGGCAAGTAGGTGCTCAGCTCAGGGCTGCTGGCCCAGGCGTCTCCCCTGTTCATAGCCCTTCTCCTTAAAGAGATTGGGGAGGTTGGATTAAATTAAGAGCATTCACTTGTACTCTTCGAGGAGTTAAACTTTTCACTGCATTTGAGCACATTAGAAGTATCCAGGGCTTTTCATCATAGGAAGTAACTTGTATAACTCTCTTTGCTTAAATGTACAGGCTCTGTTTATTATTTCTTTTTTTGTTTTGGTGTTACTTAGAAATTTATCCTTACTTGCTAACTAAGCCCGGTGATATCCTTTTGAAGACCTAGGTAATAATGATGTTTAATTCTGAACACATGGGCTAAGAAGAGCTAGACAGCAGGTTTGGAAACCCAGCCTACAATTAAAATTCATCTCTCCCCGCTTGTTCCAAAGGCCTCTAAGCAAGTGGCATTTCAACAAAGAAAGGAGAATGTTCCCACATGCTCCCAGAAAAGGAAACACTCTGCGTAATAGGAGGGTGTAAGCAAGCTCACTTTTCGTGACTTGGTCCCAGCCGGGGTGGCCTAGAATGTGTTTTTCAAGGAGTTGTTCCTGCCCCTTTTTGGTACCGTTCAGTGTAGCTATCACTCTCCCAGCCTCCCACGGCGGCCGGCGAGGCGGTTCTGACCCTCAGCAGCTGGAAACTAGGCAGCATCTCTTCAGTGTTTGTCCCCAGTGGCTCAGGTCATATTGTTGCCTCAGACTTGCTGTGCTGAGGGCAGGTCGTTCACTAGCTGCCCTTGGGTCTGTTGGATGAGAATGTGGAAAAAGAAGTTGTGTTTGCTCTTTGAGGAGTAAGTATATGTGTACCTAGGTCTGTAATATGTCTGATACTCTTTGAAAAGTTGTACAAGTGATTTTAAAATACTTTCTCCATGCTGGTAAGCATATTACATGGTTTTACACACATGAATACACACACACTCTCACATGTATATATGTACCACACATTCCACTTTTAAGTAGCCTAAAGAAAATTATATACCATTTTATCATCATATTCAGAACATTATCTTTAGAGAAATTTAATTTGATAGAATCATCTTTGAGGTATTTGGAAGCAGAATTATTTTAATTACTGTAAGACATTTCTCTGTACGGCCAGAGCCAGCTTTATGTCTGGCTGCTAAACCTTTCTTTTTTTTAATTTGCATCCTGCTTCTCTGCAAGTGTTTGGTGCTGAGACAGTCTGTCACAGACTTTCTGTGTGGCCTTGGCATGTGCAATCTCCTGGGGAGGCCGAGAGCTCCGGGCCCAGCGTTCTGTGGGCTGTGACGAGACCACGCAGCCAGGCTGGCGGATAGCGGGAAAGGGGGCCACGGGGTCCGGACGTGGTAAAGCAATAATTCACTTCAACTTCAGTTAGGGCAGTGGTTTGCAGTTAGTGCAAGTCCTTTCTTTCATGGTTGAAAAAGGGCAGATTTGTACACTTAATCAAGCACTGATTTTTACAATAATTTTGTTTGTTTTTGTTTATAGAATTAAGTTTCCTGTAATAAATGGTGTCCCTTTCACTCAGCATTTCATTGTGCGTGACCTGGGAATGCGGCCTGCACAAGGCTGTCCTAGAAGTCGGGGAGCGACATTCTCTGTAATCGAACCCAACAGGGCAGAAGTATATGTGAAAGTCACGTGGAGTCAGATTTTGACCATCTTAGAAAGAACTTTCTAACAACCAGAGCTGCCCAACAAGAGAGAGGTTCTCCCAGAGTTGCCCTGAAGAAATGTCTTTCAGGAATGTTAGAGAAGTGGTTTGCCCACCTGAGCCAGGCTGTGCCCTTTGTATGCAGGACGGTCCCGGTTTGCGCTGTTGAACTGGCATAATTTCGATGGTCCTGGTTTAGATCATAAAGTACTTCCATCACCCTACTGATAATACCTTTTTTTTTTTTTAAGATTTTTTTTTATTTATTTATCTCAGAGAGAATGGGAGACAGAGAGCATGAGAGGGGGAGGATCAGAGGGAGAAGCAGACTCCCCGCTGAGCAGGCAGCCCGATGTGGGACTCGATCCCAGGACTCCAGGATCATGACCTGAGCCGAAGGCAGTTGCTTAACCAACTGAGCCACCCAGGCGCCCCGATGATACCTTTTTTAACCCATATTATGATTCTAAGGATTGCACACTGTCGTCCACTGGAAATACCTAAATTTAAAAGCAAAATGACCTTTTCTCACTGATTAGAATAAAAGCCTCAGGGGTCTGAGGGGGGATCATAGGTAATCACAAAAATAATCCTGCCGTTGTTATATAAAAATGTATAAAGCAGAAGGTGAACATTTTCTTCCATCCCTCTAAATCTGGCCCTCGGAAGTAATTACAGTTAGCGGTTTGGCAGTGTCCTGGCGGACTTTCTTGGGTCCTCACACAAGTGCTCGTGTGCCACGTGTATGCTGGGTATTTGCCGGGTATGCTGGGTATAGCTCTCGGGCCGCGCATACAGAAGGCACTCATAGCTGCACTAAGGGTGTCTTTCCGTCCCCACCTCCAGGTGAGCATCACAGACTACGTGGTGTTCGACCAGTGCAGCTTATTCCAGACCATAATCCATGCCACACACTCGGTGGCCACGGCGGCCCAAGTGCCGGTGGAAAGGGTGGCAGATAAACTGCGCATGGCGTTTTGGTCTCAGCAGCTGCAGTGCCAGCCGAGCCTCCTAGGGGTCAACAACAGTGGCGTCTGGCTCTCCTCGGGCAAGAATGAATTCCATGTTGCTAAAGGAAATCTCATCGGTGGGTGAATCACTTTTATTTTCACATTGACTCGATCGGCAGCTTTACTTTAAAGCCAGCACTGAAAGAAAAGCTTTAAGATCTCAACTGCAGGAGATAATTTGGTGCCAGTGTGTGAAGTGTTTGTACAGAGGCATTCTTTATGCTTTGTATTGGTTTCCTTTTTTTTAATCTGTCATTCCTACAACTTGGGTACCAGCGTTTGGATGGTGTGTGATCGGTTTCTAGTGGGAATCTGTGATGATATAGGACGGGCAGATGGAGCTCATTTTTATGTTCATAATTTCACATTTAAATGAAAAGATCCACCCAAAGGTAAAAAGCTTAGTAAGAGGGAATAGTCCATTTCCTGGAGAAGAAGTTCCTGCTCTGTGGAGAACACAAGCCGCTGGTGAGATCTGTGACTGGTGGTATAAATCCACGTGTGCCCATGAGGGCTTCGTTTCTGTGAGTGAAGCCCTGCTTTGTGAATTTTCTCCAACTCTCCTCCCTCTGCACGACCGCCCCCCCACCGCCCCAACCCTGGGCAAGACTGTGGCTCTGCTTGTCAGCGTAGAAGGAAAAACAAGGGACTGGCCTCACATCACTGGCTGGCATGGACCTCCTAATTTAAGGGCATTCTGGAATTAGCTGTAAGAGGTTTTGACGTAGTCTAGAACTAAAGCTCTGGAATGTGTGTGTTGTCTTCTTTCTTTAACACACTTCCTATTGGTTCCTTCTAGGCACTTACTGGAATAATGTTGTTCCCCGGGGGACAGCTTCTGCAACAAAGTGGGCCTTTGTGCTGGCTTCCACTGCTCCCACAAAGGAAGGTTGGTTGAGAAATATAAGCGCATGGGCTGGCAGTTGAAAAGTGAAAACCATGCTCTGACCATGACCTAGTTGGGATGGGGCGTGGCTGTGTGGGCCTCAGAGACAGGGCCTCAGAGACGATGCAGTGGCTTCCCAGGCAAGCAGCCCTTGTTGGCTGAGCCAAGGCCCCCAGAGCTGGATAGGCCTGAGCAGGAGAGAAGGCTCTGGTGTGGGGACGTTGAATGAGTCTAAAGTCAGGGCGTCATTCCGAAGGAGAGGAATACCCAGTGTCCCACTGGGGCCGCAGCCGGAGACTTCCAGTGATGTGTCACGGGACTATAACACTGCAGTCGGTAGGCGCCAGCCTTCATGGGGCACCTTCTCATTTCCCCTTGTGAAGTCTTCTCTCACCTCCTAGCAACCGCTTTCAATCTGGTTTACAGCTTCTGGCTAGTCTAAGTCCCATGGTTGTGCCCTGTTAGGACAGGCCTTCCCTACAGAGCACACCTCCCGTTGACTCCGGTCAGAGCTCCCCTGCCCTCCCGGAGCATGGGGTTTGGAGCCAGGAGAGGCAGTGCCGCTCTCAGTGAGCCACGAGACCCCTCTGGGAAGTGGCTGAAGGCTCCTCCTAGGATTGTCCTGAGGGTCGGATGAGAAGACGCCATGAAGCCTATGGTTCAGAGGAAGCAGCTGGTTAGTTCGAGCGATTAGTCCCACCAGAATTTGGCTAACTTGTCATTACGGGAAAATGTTTACTCGCCTGATCGTTCTGACCATAATTCTGAAATCTGTAAGCTCTGAAAACTGTAGGTTATATCCTAAGATTAGCACAAAATCATTTGGCAGCAAAACCTGGCCCGAACCGATGTGAGGCTACTTATTTATCCATCGATTATGAGTATGCACACATTTTGTGGCAAGAATGTTACTGCATTTCATTGCTGCCTGGCTCTCTGAGGCTGTTACTTAAATATGTGGCATACCCATTACCTCAGGTTTTCAAAATCCTAAAAGTTGTGAATTCTAAAACCTATCTGGCCACAAGTTTTAGATAATATATATAGTGATGGAACCTTGAACTTTCCCAGGGGTTACCTGCATTTTAAACTCAATCTGTTAAGTCTAAAAGACTGTATAAATATGGTAGTGAGGAGGCGAGGGTGGATTTTGAGGAGAGAATGGGGAGAGGAGGCGTTCCAGCTTTCCAAGTCTCCCCAGGAGCCTCCCCCCCGATCTGCCCACCCACGTATCGCCCCCCCAGACCAGAACAGGGGAACTGTGGATCCATCCTTCCGAGGAATTGCTGACCTCACTCTCTCCAGTGCACCAGTCAGTCTCCCCAGTCAGAGACTCCCCAGCCCTTATGAAACGTTCAAGGTCAGAGCCGCTGAGGCAACATTGTAGCCTTCACCAGGTCTCAGAAGCCCTACTTTCTTTCCTCCCTTTAGAACGTCTCAGGCTTAGGTCTTAACTGGCTGGCCACGGGGGGCGCCTCTGACTTCTGGCTTGCGGTCCCTTGAGCACTCCTGCACAGCAGTGGCCCTGGGAGGCAGGAGTGGCAGCGTGTGCTGCCAGGCGTCAGCTGCCCACGGGCCAGGGCTGCCTCGTGCATCTCGTCAGTGACAGACACAAACCTTTTCCGCAGGAAGCTCCTTGTGGTTGTGCCAGAGCAGCAAGGATCTGTGCAGCGTCAGCGCCCAGAATGCTCAGTCCCGCCCCTCCACGGTGCAGCTGCCTCCCGACGCGGAGATGAGGGCGTACGCCGCCTGCCAGGACGCTCTGTGGGCCCTGGACAGCCTCGGCCAGGTGTTCATCAGGACGCTCTCCAAGAGCTGCCCCACAGGCATGCACTGGACGCGGCTGGACCTTTCCCAGCTAGGTATGGCCCCCGTGCTCACCTCGCATGAATTCTTACAGGACCTTGTGTAGGTTGCTGGATTGCAGGGGATTAAGTGGCCACTCTTGTAGATTGAATGGACCTCTTCATTTTGTAAGGAGCTTGACTTCCCCACCGTGTACAGCTTGGAGGGCTTGCAGAACCCAGGAGGAGTGTAGACGCAGAGGAAGTTGCCCCTAGAACTGCTTGATGCAGCTGCCTCTGCCAGTCTGACTCAGTGTGGTGCATTGCTTTGTGCCCTTTGAGTCTGGGAGAAGAGGTGTGTCCTGCGTCAGCCTCAGCACCCATTCGCCTGTCCCTCTGCAGCTAGAACAGTGCCCAGCGAGCGAGTGTCCATTCTTACTCGAGCAGTCTGAGATGATGTGCATCTCCTGATGGCAGCTCTTCTCAGAGTCTCCCCTCAAAGGTTACTGAGCCAGCCAAGGAGCATGCTGCCGATTATCAATAATTCATTTGTATTCCAAAAAACAAGATATTAGAGGGAGCCCACAGCATTAGGTTATTCTCCAGGCAAGTTCTTGATCGACCGGCAGCTTATGGGGGGCTAGTCTGACAGCAGAGACTTGTCTGAAGGTGGAGGCTGCTCCAGGCGTCTCCGGAAGGTCCACATAAGCCTTAGGAACACTCCCCTGCCATACGGTTTCCCATTTTGGTAAACGGACAACCAGTGTTTTTTGTTTGTAGGTGGAAAAGTTGAATTGTACAAGCATTTAATATTTCAGAATTCAACCACATGTACTCAGAGAAAAAGGGGAGAGGCGCCTGGCTGGCTCAGGAGAGCATATGACTCTTAATCTCTGACTCATAAATTTGAGCCCCACATTGGGCTTAGATTTTACTTTAAATATATACATACATAGGGGCGCCCTAAGTGTCTGCCTTCAGCTCAGGTCATGGTCCCAGGGTCCTGGGATCGAGCCCCGCATCGGGCTCCCTGCTCCGCGGGGAGCCTGCTTCTCCCTTTCTCTCTGCCTGCTGCTCTGCCTACTTGTGTTCTCTCTCTGTCAAATAAATAAATTAAAAAAAAAAAAAAAGGAAGTCCCATAGCATGTTATAGCATATCAGTACTTTGTTCCTTTTTATGATTGAAGAATATTCCATCGTGTTGATGGACATTTTGCTTATCCGTTCATCAGGTGATGGACATTCGGTTTGTACCCATGTGTGGGCTGCTGTGAACATTTGTGGATGAGTATTTGTGTGGAATTACGTTTTCAGTTCTACTGGGCATATACCTTTAAAGGGAATTGCAGGGTCAGATGGTGAATGTATGTTTTAAATGTTTAAGGACCTGAGGCAGCTGGCTGGCTCAGCTGATGGGGCACATGACTCTGGATCTTGGGGTTGTGGGTTTGAGCCCCACATTGGGTGTAGAGATTACTTAAAAATAAAATCAAACGAATAAACGAATGGTTTTCCACAGTGGCTGCATCATTTTACATCTCACCAGTAATGTATGAGGGTTCTAGTTTCTCCACATCCTCACCAAAAATTTTTCTTGCCCGATGTTTTTATTCTAGCCATCCTGATAGGTGTAAAAATGGTATCTCATGGTTTTGACTTGCATTTCCCTAATGACTAATGATGTTGAAGATCTTTTCATGTGCTTATTGGTTATTTGTATATCTTCTTTGGAGAACTATGTATCCATTTTTCAACTGGGCTGTTTGTCTTTTAATTATTTTTTTAAAAAAATTTTATTAATTTATTTGACAGAGAGAGACACAGCGAGAGAGGGAACACAAGCACGGGGAGCAGAAGAGAGAGAAGCAGGCTTCCCGTGGAGCAGGGAGCCCGCTGCGGGGCTCGATCCCAGGACCCTGGGACCATGACCTGAGCCGAAGGCAGACGCTTAACAACTGAGCCACCCAAGCGCCCCTTGTCTTTTAATT